TCTGGGAGGCCGAGGTGGGAGGATTGCTTGAGGTCAGGAGTTGGAGACCAGGCTGAGCAACGGTGAGACCCTGTCTCTATTAAAAATATAAAAATTAGTCGGGCATCGTGGTGTGTCCCTATAGTCCCAACTACTCGGAGGGCTGAGGCAGGAGAATCACTTTCAGGAGCTGGAGGTTGCAGTGAGCTATGAGGAGGCCACTAAACTCTACCCGAGGCAACAGAGGGAAATTCTGTCTCAAAAAAATAAAATAAAATTGGAATCAATCCTCTGAAACCCTGCTACTGCTTTATCAACTAAGTTTATGTAATATTCTAAATCTGTTGTTGTGATTTAAAAATGTTCACAGCATCTGCAGGAGTAGATTCCATCTTAAGAAACCACTTTCTTTGCTCACCCATAAGAAGCAACCCTTCAGCTGCCCAAGTTTGGTCATGACATTGCAACAATTCAGTCAACATCTTAAGGCTCCACTTCTAAATTCTAGTTCTCTTATATTTCCACATCTGCAGTTACTTCCTCCACTCAAGTCTTGAATCCCTCAAAGCCATCCGTGAGGGCTGGAATCAACTTTTCCAAATTCCTCTTACTGTTGTTATTTTGACCTCCTCCCATGAATCGTGAATGCTCCTAATGACATCTGGAATGGAGAGTGCTTTCCAGGTTTTCAATTCACTTTGCCCAGATCCATCAGAGGAATCACCATCTATGGCGGCCAGAGCCTCATGAAATGTATTTCTTAAATAATAAGACTTGAAAGTCAAAATTACTTCTGGATCCATGGACTAAGGAATAGATGTTGTGTTAGCAGGCATGGAAACAGCATCAATCTCCTTGTGTATCTCCACCAGAGCTCTTGGGTGACCAGGTGCATTGCCAGTGAACAGTAATATTTTGGGTTTTCTTTTTTTTTTAGAGAAGGGGTCTCACTCTGTTGCCCAGGCTGGAGAACAGTGGTGCAATCATAGCTCACTGCAACCTCAAACTCCTGGCCTCAAGTGATGCGCCCACCTTGGCCTCTCAAAGCACTGGGATTATAGGCATGAGAAACCATGCCCAGCCAGGAATAACATTTTGAAAGAAATTTTTCCTGAGCAATAGATCTCAACAGTGGGCTTAAAATATTCAGTAAACCTTACTGTAACCAGATGTGCTGTCGCCTAGGTTTTGTTGTTCCATTTAGAGCAGTGGTCCCCAACCTTTTTGGCACCAGAGACAGGTTTCATGGAAGACAGTTTTTCCACAGAAGGTGGGGTGGTGTGTGTCGAGCAGTGACGCAAGCGATGGGGAGTGGCTATAAATACAGATGAAGCTTCAGTTGCCTGCTGCTTACCTCCTGCTGTGCGGCCGGTTCCTAATAGGCCAACTACTGGTATTGGTCCACAGCCCAGGGGTTGAGGACCACAGATTTAGAGCACAGGCAGAGTAGATTTGGCATAAATCATTTTTCTTTTCCCCCATCTGAAGCACTTGTCTTAAGATTTAGTGTAATTCATAAGGGCCCTATGATTTTCAGAATGGTAAATGAGCACTGGCTTCAACTTTATGTGACCAGCTCCATTAGCCCCTAACAAGAGGGTCAGCCTGTCCTTTGAAACTTTGAAGACAAGCATTGACTCCTCCTCTCCAGCTATGGAAGTACTAGATGTCATCTTCTTCCAGTAGAAGGCTGTTTCATCACGTTGAAAATCTGTTCTTTAGTGTAGCCACCTTCATCAATTATCTCAGCCAGGTCTTCTGGATAACTTGCCGTAGCTTCTCCATCAATCAGCATTTGCTGCTGCACCTTGCACTTTCGTGTCATGGAGATGGCTTCTTTCCTTAAAGCTCATGAATCAACCTCTGCTAGCTTCGACTTTTCTTCTGCGGCTTCCTCACCTCTCTCAGCCTTCACAGACAGAAATGCAGTATTAGGGCCTTGGCTCTGGATTAGGCTTTGTCTTAAGGGAATGTTGTGGCTGGTTTGATCGTCTATCCACACCACTCAAACTTTCTCCATAGCAGCAGTAAGGCTGTTTTACTTTCCTATCATCTGTGTGTTCATTGGAGTAGCACTTTTAATTCCCTTTAAGAAATTTTCCTTTGCATTCACAATGTGGCTAAGTGTTTGGCACAAGAGGCCTAGCTTTCAGCCTATCTCAGCTTTCAATATGCCTTCCTCACTAAGCTTAATCATTTCTAGCTTTTAATTTAAATGAGAGAAGTGTGACTCTTCCTTTCATTTGAACACTTAGAGGTCTTTGTAAGGCTATTAATTGGCCTAATTCCCAATCAGGGAATAGGGAGGCCTGAGGAGAAAAAGAGAGATGGGGAAACAGCTGTTGGTTGAATAGTCAGACATAGACAATACTTATCAATGAAGTTTGCCATCTTATATGGGTGAGCATGGTTCGTGACACTCCAAAACAATTACAATAGTAACATCAAAGATCACCAAAAGAGACATAATAATAATGAAAAGGTATGAAATCTTGTGAGAATTATCAAAATGTAACAAAGAGAGACAAAGTGAGCACATACTGTTGGAAAAATGACACCCACGGACTTGCTGGACGTAGGGTTGCCACAAACCTTCACTTTGTAAAATACACGTTATCTGTGAAGTACAATAAAACAAGGTGTGCCTGGGAATAAATGGCCAATAAGCACTTGCCAAGATGCTCAGGATCATTAGGCATCAGGAAAATAAAAACGAAAACAATAAAATACTACTAAGCAAACACTAGAATGGCAGAAAGTAAAAATACTGATAGCCCAAAGTATTGCTGAGGATGTGGAGCAACTAGAACTCTCTTATTCTGCTGGTGGAACTTCAAAACGGTACTGCCACTTTAGAAAACAGTTTGGCAGTTTCTTATAAAGTTACACAGATACTGACATATGACCTAGCAATTCCACTCCTAAGTATTTACCCAGGAGAAATAAAAATACAGTGTACACAAACATTTATAGTACCTTTATTCATAATAGCCACAAACCAGACACAACCCAAACGTGAGTACCTGGAGAATGGATAAACTGTGGAACATCCATACGATGGAGTGTTATTTGGCAATGAAAAGGAATTAAGTACCGATATACAAACATTATCCTAGGTTAAGAAGACACACATACACAAAAAAGCATATACTGTATGATTCCATCTGTATCAATTTTTAGAATAGGCAAAACTAATCATTAGTGTTGAGAAGTAAATTCAGCAGTTACCTGGGGCCAGGAGAGTGACTACAAGGGGGCAAGAAGGGACTTTTTTGGGTAATTGAAATGTTCTATAACTTAAACAGGTACATTAAAATATATACTTAAAATGGGTATTTTTACTGCATATAAATTATACTTCAGAAGTTATTGAAAAATTTTAAATTATATCTGTGATTTAGAACTTTAAACATAAAATGAAAAAGGTAAAACTAGAAAATGATTTGGTGAGGGTGCTTTTCAAAATCGAAGACCATATATAATCATTTGGAACAGTCTCGTGTTTATCAAAAGATTAAGTGTTTTATACACAAATATAAAATTTAGCTTCCAAACTAACCCCCCAAATAAAATACTATCTTGCCTATTCAAAGCCTAATGGAACTCCTCAACAAAATAAAGGAGACTTAAAAAAATCTATAAAATCATTTTCAATAATAAACTGTGAAATGCCCTTCCTTCCCTCTGACACTCTCTCGCAGTGCGGATGTGCCTGCCCTCCCTCTACTCTCCCTCCTGCTGCATTACCTGAGGGGAGGCCAAGCCCTGAGCATAAGGTGGCAGGCTGTTGTTCTGATCCATGATGTTCGTTTTCTTCTTGGAAAACCCAAAGCCCTTGGACTGGAACTTGTCTCAGCATCCAGTCTCTCCCTAGAGCAACCCCAGCACACTCTTCTCAGCAGCTTTTCCAATTCCTCAGGTTATCTTCACACACCAGGAAACAGAGATGCTGCTTTGAAAAAAGTCTAAGTTTAATGTAAGGATCCAGGTAAACTGTATAGTCTTAACAAGCAAGTTTCACAGTTACACAAAACACAAAAAAGAAAACCAATGAAGCTATTTTGGAATATATTTCTTTTTACCTTATAATCCTAAAGCTTTATTTCTTCCATGTTTCCTGTGATTTCAGGCAAAATTGCCAAAAAAAAAAATTGTTTTGTTACTTGTTCAAATTAAATACCCTGATAATACTCAAAATTAAGGTGACACAACCTGCCTTAAAAACTTTTGCAGGAAAACATCTAGAGAAAATGAATTCCTAAGCAAACTGTAATATCAGAGCATTTATTAAGCACTGTATACACAGCACTGTTAGGCCAAGTTCAGGTTTTTAAATATTCCATTCAATTTTATATCCACCACAATGTCTTGGGCATAAATTTTAAAGAATATTTAATTGAACCAAATATGCTTTAGTGTGATCATTTCTTGAGCTCCTGCTATCATGAAAGATTGTGAAAGAAGCCATACAGATACACAATAAATAAAACATTGTATTTTTATAAATGTAATGACCTTACCTCTTTAGAACATATTAGTGCAAATTGTGCCTATATTTGGCTTTTCTTAAATCACCATCTCTTTACTGGGTACACATCTGAAATGACTTTCCCATGGAATAACCAAGAGACTGCTGAAAGATCTTTCGTTCAGTTCAAACAGACCCATAACTTGCTCAGGGTTGCTGTGAGAACTGATTGAATCAACATAGGATCAGTGACTGAGTTAACACAACAAGAACAGTGTCTAGTTATTATATAGCACATATAGGACAAATATTAGCTAGTATTAGATTTCACTTCAAACATTTATTATCACCTAATAAAATATTCTCACACAGAACTTACAGATATTGAAGTTACAAGTCATATGACCAAAGACCCAGATACATTTCAAGCA